TTTACCAATTGCTTAACACAACCTTTTTGTACACGCAAGAAGAACAGCTTCATCACATCACTTCATTACCAAACAGAACTGCATCTTCCTGTCAAACCTATATGAATGCTCCGTACTGCTGACCACAAGAACCTACCAACTTACTGCTGCACTTACATGGGAATGAGACACAACCGTGTCCCCATAGGATGACTGCTACCAGCTGTGAGGGTTTTTTAGTTTGTTTTTAAAAGACAAAGGAAATGTGTGGTAACTAAGGTTAGGTAAGAAACATTCTACTACCAGAGCTCTCAGCAATTCGTGTTTTTTCGGAGTTCTCCTTGATAAATGTGGCAGCTTAAGAAGTCTGTCTCTAGGGAAGGTTCCTAAGTTTTCATTTTGGCGACATGAAGCTGGTAGAGGTTTAACTGGAGAGGTTGAAGGAAACCTGGAATTAATAGGAAAGATATTAAGTGCATTTAGAATACATTAAAAAAATACAAGCAGTCGTTTACCTGAAGCCATACCTTACCAGCATGATTTGATACGTTTCTGAGAAGATTCAGGGAATTAAAACTGCTGAATTAAAATTAAATTAATTTTTTCTTTTCTCCTTAGAACACTGATTAACATAATCATTTTATAAAGCATACTCTGGCCTATTCTTAATTCCAAAGTCAAGTTGGAGATGGCTGAGCCGCTTACACAGCGCTAAGATCAGACTCAGAGAAGTGATGGCCATCAGCACTGCAGCATGGAGCTACTAAAATAAATTTGCTTTGGGTTCCCTCTGAAGCCCTTCCATGGAGCACCCACGTCAAGGAAAAAACCAGACAGACAGAAGCACGAGCACAGCTTTCAGTAAGCAGGGTATATACTCAACAAGACAGTGGAGGAAAATTCTGTCAATAATTGCTTTTGACTCAACTTTCATCCTGAAGTGGGGTGTTTTTGGTTTTTTTTTTTGTTAATAGTTCTGAACACGGAATAAAATTCTTTCCCAAGGAGGCTGTGGATGCCCCATCCCTGCAGGCATTCAAGGCCAGGCTGGATGTGGCTCTGGGCAGCCTGGGCTGCTGGTTGGCGACCTGCACACAGCAGGGGTTGGAACTGATGAGCGTTGTGCTCCTGTGCACCCCAGGCCATTCTGCGGTTCCGCTGGTTCTCAGTGCAGTACCTGTATAGCACACCATTGTCTTCGAGGCTTTCTGACCCCCACCTTCCTTTAATATCTTCAATTACGTGATTCTTGAGGAACTTCCTCAGCAGCTGGACAGTCTGCTGCCTGCTCACTTCAGGCCCGAAGTTGCTGTTGTTCCTCAGCGCTTCGTGCAGCCAATCTACAGCTTCGGAGGCGGTGAAACAGCTGCCGTGCTTTCTGAAGTGCTGCCTGTGCGTCCTCAGCGGCACGCCGGCTCGGAAGTACCTGGTGATTTCGTTCCACTGCACAGGAGACAAAGCGACGGAGGACAGAAGGTTAAAGCTGAAAGCTGATAGCAATAAACGGCAATAAGACAAAGCGGCAGGAACAACCACAGGAGCAAAATGAGGTTAAAGCGTCGCCGCCAACGCGGCACGTCCCTCCCCACAGCCGTGACACAGGCCCACGAGGCCCATCGGCGGCCCAGAGCCCAGCCGGCCGCCCCCTCCCGGTGCCGCCGTCCTCACCAGCTCGGTGGCACGGTAAGGACCCGGCGCTGCCGGGCGGCGCTCCATCGCTGACCCCGGGGCGCCCGCCCGGACGCGGCCCAACCGCCGCACGGTTTGAATTTGCTGCGCGGCCACCGATTGGGCGAGCGGGGCGGGCGCTCGTCGAGGGCGGGCTGCAGCACCGCCTCGAGGCGGAGGCGGGAGCGGCACCTCCCCTCAGGGCGGCGAGGGGGGTGGAGGAGCTGTGCGCGCAGCCGGGCGGCGTGAGTCGCTGCTTGTGGTTCGTGGGGCGGCGGTTCGGGCAGCCCAGTGGTATCGGAACTCTCCCGTCCTCCCCCCGCAGGGCGGCATCTCAGCGAGTGTGACGGGAAGCTGAAGGAAGACAAGGTTCTGAACCGGCGAGCGCCGCAACTGCGCAGCTTTCAACGCGCGGACCGAGCGATTGCACGCAGCCGCCTGTGGAGGCGCTTGTCACCATTCCCGTGCTTCAACGACCGACCGCCTGCTCGTCCAACAAAATCACCTGATGAGCGGCTGCCCAGGCAGAAAGTGGTGTCGGTTTTTGCAGTGACCCGGGCTGTAAAGCTGCTCGAGCGCACAAACCAATGCTCTGAGCGTCTCGGGGAAACCTCCATGAGTAAACCCTGAAGGAAGCGGCGAGCGCAGCCCTTCCGACGCTGATTGCTCCCATATTCCCTCTTTTAGCCCATTTTGAAACATACCGTGCTTGATACATTTGCATTCAATGCGTTTTGTGAAACGTAGATCGAGTAAAGAGGCTTGGGATTCACCTCAGGAAAGTACAGCGAGAGGGATGGCTGGGAGACACTGGGTCCTCACAGCTGTGAGCAGGGCTAAGCTGTGCGTAATTCCCTCAGAGATGAAAACTGCAGTCCTTCCTGCTTTACAATTCAGTTTCAAGCCTGCTGTTGCCTGTAGGTTTCCCTGCTTGGAGAAAAATGTCTGCGCAGAGGCAGATCTGCTGTGTTTCTGTCACTGCACGGTCTGAAGGCGAGGAGCTTGCTGGGAAATACAAGCAGTCTTTTAGAATTACAAAACAGTACTTCTGGGTCACTACAGATATTCCTAAAGCCAGTTTTACGAGTTCACAGTGAGGTTTCCTTACATTCCACATGTTTTTATCTCTTTTTTCTCATTGGAGAGGCATACAAGTACCAGCCCAGCCGAGCTGCAGGAGGGCATCGGGGCAACTCCGCACGTGAAGCTCTGCAAAACATGAGGTAAAGGCATGGGAAAAGAGAGCGCTGTTCCCTTTCCCCTCAGCCTCCTTCATAACTGATGTTGGTGTTGTCTGCCACTGGTTATGGTAGAAAGCAGAACAGAAATGAGTGGAGTTCATTTAAAGCGTCAAGGTGGTGGCTGTCCCTCTGGCTCACTGGTACGGTGTGTTACTGCACAAAGAGGTCTGTGCTCTAAGTCTTTCTTTTTCTGGTTTTAAACATAGGAATGAAGCTAATTAGAAACTCTTCTTATTGATCTGCTGATGTTTAGTGCAGCTGGATTAACATCCCTGCCCATGAGTTCAAATAGAAGGTGATGTTAAAGCATGAAGGAATAGATGGTGGAGACTGCTGGTGGTAACGAAAGCTTTCAGCATTTGTCTCTAAGGAGTACAGGTACCTAATACATGTGGATTGTGGGGACAAGGCAGTAAATAGATCCAATGTAAAGTTTTAATTTGCATCTCTGCCCCTCCACTAACAGCACCTTCTAACTGCAAAGGCTAGCCCCCATTTAATTGCTCTTGTTATCATGTGTAGAAGCAGTAGAGCCTGAAAAGCCCATAGCAGTGCCTAAACTGTCAGTGAACGGTGTGTGTATTTACTTGACCAAGCCTATCTTTAACTGTTACTTAGAACAAGATGCTCAAGAAGAAAATACATTACCCTTGGTTTTCCCTTCCCTCCCTCAAAGCATTTGCTTTTATTCAATTTGGAAACGGACACCGGGTGCGTGTATGTTTCATTTTGTACAAATGCTTATATATGCATGCAGTGTTAGGTAGAATCACAGAATTGTGTAGTTTGGAGATGACACCTTGCAAAAGTCACCCAGTCTGGAGTTTTGCTCAGTGAATTGATGAGGACCTTGGCCAGTCAAGTTTTGAATATCCCAGGGATGGAGGTCCCACAGACATTCTGGGCTCCTGCTTCTGTTTGTCCGCCCTCCTGGGAAAGGTGTTCATGTAGAGTCAGAACTGATGCTGCTTGTCCTTCCATTGTGTGCTCTGACAAGAGCTGGCTCCCATGAGATGGCTGCAGACAGTAGCACAATGTCTTCATACTGAACAAACCCACTGTCTCAGCTTCTCATATGTCATTGTCTGGTCCTTTTACAAGACTGTTAGATGATTTGTTCCTAAAGTGAGGGGTTACACAGTAGAGCTAAATGGTATGGAAAAAAAAGGGCATTTTCAACCCACTCAACTGAACTGAAGTCTTTTTCATGTCTTGTGAGACATGCAGCAGAGATCTGATTTCTCCAAAGCATTTGCTGCCTACTCCACTTTTGTCACTTCTGCTTTGTCATTGTAAGTCATGCAAAGTAAGCTAGACTGAACCTTTTTCTCCATACAGTTTTTCCCATGCCTTCATTCACTTCTATTCCTCTTTTCTACGCTCTCATCCAGTGTGCTGAATGACAAAGACAATACTCAGTTACTCCAGACTAAATTGAATCACTGTTTTGGGTGAGTTTTCAGAGTGTGCTGAATTCCTTTCTGTCATTCCTTACCTGAGTCCCTGCACATTCAGTGCTGTACCAGCTATTCTGCTACATGCTGAGCAAAAGAGTCCTCAATGATGGACGTATGCACATAGGTAGTGCAGTACTGAGAATGATGAAGACCTCTCATATCATCTATGAACGTTCTTTTTTAACTCAAGTTAAATTCTTGGGTTACAGATAGGTGAGAAGTACAGCCTTCCAAGATCTGTCAGAATGGGCTGCTGTAGGTGGGGGCTCAGAAGAGTGGGGCAAGGAAAGGAAGGCCTGAGGGGCTGCTTCTGCTCTGCAGGAGGCTGGGAGGGAGTGGCCAGAATAAATCCTGCCTCTGGGTTCTGGGTTTTCATGCACGTCTGTTCAAATTTTGAGTTTAAGGGGATTGTTTCTGTGCTTACAGTGTGCAAAACAAACCTGCCTAAGGCTTAGTGAAATGAAACAAAAAGCACAAAGATGCTTCGTGCTTGAAAGATGTGTGCTCCCCGAGTTGCTCAGCTGTCCTCTGTACACAATTTGGGTCCCAGCTGCAGCGTGTTCTCTGTGATAAGGCTGGGGTCGCTCCCAGGTGTGTTGGTCAGCAGAAGTAATAAAGAGCACACAGCTTAGTAGCTACTCCTATTCCTGGTTCTTGCTGGTAGTTGCTGAGGTTGTTGCAGCGCGTAATGTCCATTGGAGGGCATTAACCACTGCGGCTGTACACCTTCTCTTCAACCAGGTAGGATGAACATCGCTCAGTTCCTTCTCTTGTCTGGGTGCTTTTTCTCCTGGATGTGTTTTAAGTAGATATTCTGTCCTGAATTATAAAAATACAGCAATGTTCTGTGGAAGCTGTAGAGAGGAGTCATGAAGTCTTCAATAACGTTTGTTTTTAGGGTTATGCAACCTCTTAGCTTGTAGGAGTTTCATTTCTTTTGTGTTTTAAAGATGTAAACTCTTCTTAATGCTGGCTCAAATGAAGTTGTTAACAAAATGCTCTTGATGCACTTTAGGAGCTGAAGCAACAATCAAGGCGCACTTCCTTATTAATATTAACATTAATTGGTACAAAAGACAAAAGAATCTTTCAAGTGGATGGGAGAATTGTGCTTAACTCATGAGCATCTGTGCCACAAGTAGTCATGAAACAAATACTGTTCTTCTGTAAGGTGCTGTGTGCTGAGAGTCTTTTTGCAAGAGGTCCTTCATGTTGTACCAAATACGTGCAAACAACTGAAGAGGGCATGAAGCTGTGTGATCTTTGGATTTCCAGCTCCACTGAGCTCAGAGCTCAGCTTATTGGGGTTAGTTCCAAGTATGATTTCAAAGGCTTGTGGAAATGTTTAATCTATAATTAACAGCTGGTGCTTGTAACCATCTTAGGGGAAGGCTGCGAGCTTAGTGAAAACCTATTTTATTTTTAATAGGCTTCAGAGGTACCAAGTACAAAAGTGACATTGCTATCTATTTCAGTTACTATGCTTGAGATGATTAAGCACTGATACTGTGTGCATCTGAAGTTCTAGTTGTAAATAAAGTCTTTGCAAGTGTAGGCATGAAATGCTTTGGGTTCAAGCGATTAATACAGATTGTTTAAGGCCTGAGGTATTTTTGAAGTAATCCTAAATGAGGACTCTCTCGCTTTGCCTTTCATATATCATTTATATAACCTCCTGCCAAAGGTTCTGTATATACTGGATCATGATATATTAATCAACTCATGTGCTTTTTCCCTAGTTGTTTGGCTGAAGGCTTAATTAAATGGTGCTGGTGAAGGCAGTCAGCTGGGTGTGCTTCTTGTTAGCTCAGCTCCACAGGAGGAGCGCAGAGCTGCTTGCTTGCTTCGCTCTGCAGGGCTCTGGGGTCCAGCCTGCCTTGCTGAGGCACAGAAGTACCTAAATATCAGGTGCCTACTGCAGGCCTGTATGGTCCTGGGGAAAATACAGCCTGTATGGGGAGCAGAAATTACAGAGAAAAGGGCCGTAGGTGGATGCTGACATCTCCAGCTGGAGCTCCCTGAGCTGCTGGTGGCTGCCTGGGGTTCCTCCCTGCAGGGCTCAGTGCCTTGTGCACCTGATGCCTGTGTGCAAGTCAGGCGTGCGCACGTTTTCCCCTTGGGCTTCTCAGCTGGGATAGGAGTAATCGTGGCCAGGTGTGGTTGCAGGCATTTCAAACTAATGTGCAGATTTGTTGATTTTCCTACCCTGCAGTGTTCTCTTTTCTTTTCGTAACATTTAAATAATAAAAAAAAAAAAATCAGTTTTGATACATCTCTTAAATGTTCTTTGGTTTATGCAATCCACAAACCAAGTTTTCCAGAAGTAGTGAGATGCATGGAGAGGTTTTAAAATTCTCAGCCATCTGGGGTAGAAGAGCTGGATTTTGTGTTTTTCTTTTTGGTGTGTGTAGTGCTTGTGGCTCGCTATGTAGATCCCAAAGGCATTGTGGAGTCTAACTCCTCTGTATCTGCTGGCTTGAAAAGATGAACTAAATACACTTTTTAAGGATAAAAGCTGTTCTACATTGTTTCATTATCAGAATCTGCTTGAGTATGGGAACTGCTGAGTCACAGCCTGAAGCTCTGATCACCTGAGGAAAGGATCTGCTCAGCCCTGGGAGCACAGGTGAAGGCAGCTCACTGATGGGGGTGGGAGGGGTGGAGCCTGGCTGCTCCTCTCCTAGGGCTGACTGCCACTGGGGAAGGATCTCTAGGTGCACATCCCTCCTTGGTACAGTTTTCCTTGTGAGCCTGTAAAATCTTGAGCTGCCTGCACTGACGTGGTTACTTTTCCTGTGGAGGGGATGTGAGGGATCTGTTAGGTAACTGCAGCACAGGAAGACTCAGAGTATGAGGCGTGCTGGTCCTGCCTGATGTGATGGCATGCCCGATGGACTGAGCAGTTGCTCTTCAGTTTCTCATAGTGAGATTTGGATAGCTTGAGGCTATTGAAAATCCTCCTATGACTTGCTGAGAGCTACAGTTTCTGCACCAACAAAATGCAGAATGAAACCTTGGGGAGGATAAACAGGCAGAGGAAGAAGGAGAGATCCTTGGGAGCAGGCTACCTCTGCTGTAATATGTGAAATCAATAGCTTTTCTTGTGCAAAATCATTCTTTTTCCTGCTGTCAGCTGTACTGTGTGGGCTGCTGTGTTACTGTGCGCTGCAGCAGGTTATTAGTGAAGTAATTCTGCTGAAGTATGTTCTAAGAATAAATTATAACGTTATCTCCGTCCTGTAGAGCGTTATTGCTCTGCCTACAGCTTGCTAGCAGATGTACAAAGGTAAGGTGATGCTTCTGGTTGTTGTGATGGATTTTGTATCTGAGCAGTTACTCTTTTACCCTGAAAAGCATTTCTCCAATCATTTATGTTACTGCTACAATAAAAATAATAAAGCCTATAGAACTTGGCTGTTTGATGGAAGTGTCAGCATCTTTTGCTCTTCTTGCTTATGCTGATCTCTGAATTCCTTGAAAGTTCTTTGTGAAATGAAACATGAGCAGTGCAGCAAATCAGCTATCAGCTCCTGTGAAGGCTGGATGTCCTCCTGCTTTTGAAGCACCCCCCTCTGATGGAAACAGTGAAACCACCTAACTAGATGTTTTTCTTTTATTCCTGGGAGAGAATATGGATGAGCAGAGAATCAAGGTGTGTGGCTAATTGCTTCTGCTTGGGACTTGAGGAAGATGGCTGGAATTCTGTACTTCGTTTCGGGCCTTGTTTGTGCAGCAATCTGCAGTGAGGGGTTACACTGCGGGGCAATGACTGGTGCTGTTTCCATCCAGTAAGGGCACTTCTTGTGGTGCCTTTTTTGAACTGATGGTGTGATTTCTATTAACCCAATGTTACGTGCATTTCTCTTCGGCCATCTTCGGTTTAAATGCAGCTCCAAGTGATTAAACTGCTCTTTTTGCTCTGATCTTTTCAAGAGTTATCAGCAGAATAGCATAGTTTGTCACTGAATCTAAAGTGTGCTTCCATAATGGCTTTGTGCAACTCCTGAGGTGTGTGACATCCTGTCGAGGTCATTTTTAGAAGAGAAGGTGCAGACGACAGCTTCCTTCTGGTAAGAGTGGAAGAAAAGTTCATCTGGTAATTCAGTGTTTTTACTTGGTATGCTAGGATTTTGCTTCCATGGTGTTCTGGACAAAAAGCAGACCTTCCTTCAGTATGTCTGTCCGTGTAGCTTTTACTGAACACTGATGGCCCTTGTGCTGGGGAAGAAGAGTGATTACCTGACTCTGCTGCAGGCCTGTAAGTAGCAGATGCTCCAGATATGGGCACATTGCCTCCTGGTTCCCTCAGCTACCAAATAACTGAAGCAAAACCTGACAAAAACCAGGCGTGTGGATTTGGTGAGGTTGGTCTGGAAAACAGTCCTTTATGTGGTTGCTTATTTGTTGCTTTCATTTGTGAACTGCACTGCAGCTGTGCCCAGTTCTTCACAAAGTAGTTCATCAGGTCTATTATTCTGCAAATGCGTAGCAGCTGTTGCTCAAATCCAGCCTGATTGCAGGTGCCCTCTGCAGTTTTACGCGATTGGTTTACTCCAAACACTTTGTTACTGAATCATTCATTTGCTCGTAACCATCCATACCAAGTGTACATTAAAATGCTGCTTGTGCTGCAGTTCGAAGGCAGTTGCTGAAAAGATGAAAGGATGGGATCCTACGGACGGTACGGCTCTCTTACTGAGCACGTTCACGCCTCCTGGCTGCTGGTGGGAGGCGGAGGCTCGCGTCCAAAAGGGGAAATGCTCAGATCGGAGCATTTACCATTTCTCATCTTGCCGTTGTCTGGGAGCAGCCGGGAAACAGTAGGCGTGGATGCTGTGCCTGCTTGCAGGCATCCGTCCCAGCGGGTCCTGGTGCTTCCTCGCTCTCCACGAGCCTCTGAAGGGCCGGTGTTGCTGGGGGGGGCAGCCGGCAGGCACGACAGCAGAAGGGAGATGCTGGGAGGAGCCGGGAAGGAGCGTCCTGAAGCTAGAAATAACGCCACGATTTTCTTAGATCTTCTGTAGTGTCTGCAGGACTCTCCAGCAAAGCGAGTGGCGTTTGTGTGCGCGGTGTCGCGGGGGCTGGTGGCGGTGTTAGCCCTGCTGCCTTCACCAGCTGAGGCTGCACTGCTGTAATTCCCAATTTGGAGCACGGCTGTCTCTCCAACTGTTAAAGTGAATTGGAAGATCCAAACACCTTGAAAAAAGTGAAGAATGTATTAAAACACAAAGCAGGTTTTTTTCATTGGGACTTGTCTGTAGTCTTCTCAAATACTACACATTTTGCAGAGATGATGAGGAAACTTGAAGAGGACTTGTGCCTGGCTGCTTGGTGGATGTGTCAGCGCTGAGTGCTGAGCTGTAGGACTGGAGTCCAAGCCCCGAGGGTCTGAAAGTCTAAGGGTGCAGGCATACTTTCTATGACATCTGTTGTCTTGTGTCTATTAATGCCTGAAAAATCCACTGGGCACTGGGGTGACTCTAATAGAAAGTCAGAGCAGACAAGTGATTCCTGGCTCAGAGTTCAAAGCACGATGTCCTGCACTGCAGCGAGCAATAGAACCAGAAGTACGCCCTGAGTGCTTCTGAGAGCTTCTATCGGCGGGCTCGGGAGCCTGCTCGAGGGAGTCTGACTGCTTCCAAAGGAGATGGAGCGAGCCCTTGCTTCTCGGGATTCCTGTCCTTCCTTGGCGTGATCGATTTCTGCCGCATGGTGGTGGTAGTGCTTTTTTCTAATCCTGA